TACAACTAAATTGTAGCTAATCCTTTTTATCCCTGTATCTAAGTTTTAGCTCCCATAATTAAACTGGCTTTAACGTTTTCCCGACAGATTAAAATTGTTTAAAAATCAGAATCAGATTCAGCAGCTCAAAAACTGCAAAAAAGCATACCTTTTCCATTCCGAGGTCCAAAATTAGCCCGTTTTATCCACCGTCCTTTCGACTCGGCTTCCCTCAGACCGAGCACAGGTAAGTCTCGCGCTAACTCCACGACGGAGTGCGCTTATTATTTTTTCAGCTTGCCAAGCGCCTCGCACGAGATAAGGATTAGCAGCGGGCAACGGTGAAGAAGACAAATCGTTCGCTTCCCCGTCCGCGGCTTGTTAATAGTCAAGAAAAGGCCGATCTAATCGCATTAAAAGATTAAGGCGCGATGATTGCGATCGCCCGCTTCGCTCCGCCGTTTCTGTCGCGCGTGAAGCGCGGCTCTCACCGCGCTCTTCCATTTGTCACCGGTCGGAAAAGTCCAACTACAGTGGAGCGCGTCTAGGACAGCGGGAGGGAGGGTGCCGTCTGTCGGGTCTTCGGCGATGGCTGAGAAAGAAGCCGTGGGAGGGAGACGCGCGGAAAATTGTGCCACGATATTGTCGGGCCGGAGTAATGTCGAGAGAGAGAGAGAGAGAGAGAGGGCGAATATACCGTGGAAAGTGATGGAATAAAAAAAAAGAACAACGAGATGCGCTTTACCCGACACTCGCGTGTCGCCTTTTCATTAGCAAGCTCCTTCCGAAGAAAATATTAAAGGAATAAGAGAGGCCACGCTTCCGCGGTTAAGAGATGGTAAGTAAAGAGAATGAAGGGGAAAAACGCGCGCGACGAGGACACACGTCGGGAAACGAAGAGGCAACGACGACGACAAATCGAGAACTCGGGTCCTTTTTTGTGAGAAAAAACGCGCTTTGCGCTTTAGCCGAAGCAGCGCGCTCAGCCTGACGCTGGAAATCACCGGGGGACCCGGAGAGCGATCGTTACTTTATCGCTGGAATCTTGTTCGGGGGATAACAAATCTCATATTTTTACCTCGGCCCGAAATCAATGTCCGTCTCGCTCGTAATTGAGAAAGAAAAGCGGATTTCCTTCGTCATTCGCCAGTTCTCACAGTTTTGCCGTATCGGACAACACACAGTTTTATTGCGAATTAGCTACAACTATGTAATAGCTCCATGATAAATACTCTTAATAAAGTAATTTAACAATAACAATAGTAACAATAATAATTATAATAATAATTTTAATAGTTTAAAAAATACATATATATATATATATATATATATATATATGAGTGTGTGTACGAGTATATTTATATAATAAAAATATATAATTAATTAAAAAATAATAATATTAATAACGATAATAATAATAATAATAATAATAACGCGATCATAGCTCTTTTTCTGTCTGGTTGTTTGTACTGGTTTAATGCGCGACGTCCCGGCAGAAGAGAGGAGCTCTCGCTGGAAACCAACGTTGCAACGTGGCGCGTTGAATTCTTCGTGACAGGTCAATCTCTACGGTGCGGTGAGAGGGGGACGGCCAAATTTCAACCCCCTCGTGCGGAAGGAGAGAGCGCCTTATTCGCGCGAGTCAGTCTGCGAATCCGACCGATCCTTAAACGACACTTCAGCTCCAGCGAGTCGACATATCCGAGAGGGAGAGAGAGAGAGAGAGAGAGAGAGATCCACTCGTCGCTCGCCCGTCGCCGAACCTTCGTGACGGACTTGATTTTCGTGCGCGTAATAACCGTGCCGTACCGTATCGTATCGTGTCGTATCGCGTCGTATCGTCACGATACATGGCGCTTCATTCAAAACCGATTGGGCGAGGAAGAAAGACACGGGCCGACCGGATTTACACTTTTCCTCTGCTCCTCCTTTTTGCCTCCCCCCCCCTCCTTCCCGCCTTTTAAACTACCGATCTTGACCCTCCAGTCACAAGATTAAAGCCGGACGCAACTCCACGATTCATTTATTTTAGTGTATACGCGCTGTTTCTCTTCTTAAAGAACTTCATGTTATTATTTACTTCTTTTCTCCCATTTTCTACATGGATTACATGAAAACTGAACAAAATAGAGCATGAAGTCGGATCCCACCTCACTTTCTTGGTTACATTGAAGATTCACCTTGTAGTTAGAGGAGTAACATAATCGCTCCTGGTTCAATTAACGTCTCGAGACCGACTTGAGCGGATCAATTCAGTCTCTCTCTCTGTAAATAACGCTATCATCATCATCATCATCTCTCTCTCTCTCTCTCTGTTAGATTGCACATAATGACCCATCATTATAGAAGTTATATGACTTAATGAGGAAAGTGAGCGACTCGTTTGGCCGTTATTAAACTTGGATCCACGGTATGTTTTGCGCGGTCGCGTAAAAACGTCTCTCTGCGCGCGCGGGCACTTCTCGAAACGACAGGACGCCTCGCTCGCTATCCGTCGCGCGAACACGGCGGTCCCGCTGTTATATGCGCCGCCATATCCGTAGGAATGTATGGCTCAATTATAGCCGGTAATTAGTTCCCCTGGAAGTTTAAGGGCGCACTCAATCATGCGCGAGCGTGTGCAGTTATCGTGGTGTGCGAAGGTACTTTTTACTTCTCTCTCTCTCTCCTCCTCTCTCACTCTCTCTTTCTCTTGTTCCCAAATTACGTATTCAGCTAAGAAAGTATGATAAATAATAGGAAAAGAGCTAATCTTTCCCTCTGTGTTCCGGCGAGAGAGATATTGTAAAAATTCATAATACGAAAGCTCAAACGTACTACTAACAGCCGCAAGCTTACACGAGACGTCGCTTTTATCGCGCACTTTGACGCTCGATTTTTCACGGTATCCACGATTATTCGAACATCTGCGATGAGTCGTTTTGGACTACACTTACTCCACCGCGCTACTATTTTAGTTTGTGTTTCAACTAGGAGGGACAAAAATGGAGAATACGTAGAAACGTGTTAATCGAGTGACAAACGCCAAATTTACGTAAACGATACCGGGCGACAGGATGGCTCCGACGGAGCCAGTGGCGAATCGACCTGTCTGTGTGTGTCAGTAGCTTACTAGACCGAACTGTCGGGCATAGAAATCCAATCCAGAGCCGTTTTGTGAGGAGACCAGCGGGATTTAAGGGGCCGGGGATAAGGGTGGATTTCCCTGTTGCATGAAAAGCGAGCCTCCGATGCCGCTGTTACTGCGCCTCCCCCGGGCGGCCGCTTCGCGTCTCACTTTCTTCCTTCTCGCGTGTTCGCGAGCGCGTTGGGATCATCGGCTTTCGGTGTATTCGGATTGGAAACTGGCAGTACATCGGGAGCCTGCCTTTTTACAGGGTTATTTACTTATTACGCTCGGTAATATACGCGGATAAAGGGGATTCGAGAAGTATGAAATTGCGAATTCTCCGTACACCGCGCGATTCCTCTCTCTCTCTCTCTCTTTCTCTGTCTTTCGCATGGTCTCCCTTGAGAGGACGGGGGATCTTTCATGGTTGCTTAATGCCTCATTCTTTATATAACGTTCGGTCCGTTTACGACGCTTTTTGCGCGCCACCACCGTCGTGCGGATTCGTCGAAGCGTTTTAAGCGCGCAGTCATCAATCCGCGTTCATCTCTCACCGCCGACAGGCTTCGAGCACGGCCGCCGAATTGTTTGCATAAAAGTACACGGGAGATTAATATACATGGAAAGAGGAGAGAGAGAGAGAAAGAGAGGAAGAGGGCAGAGGAAGAGAAGAGATAGGAAAAAGTATATACATCCCGCGTATGAAATATACCAGAATTCGTGTAAAATATTCATGCGAAAGCACGTAAAAATCCACGTTCGCTCGCTCGCTCACTCGCTCGCTCTTCTAAAGTGTATGAGCGCGAAGGCAAAAATAATATATAAACGGGCACCCCGATCGATTTTAATCGAGTCACCTGAGAGGACAAATAAATTTGCCTAAAGTAATTGAATTCGTCGACACCGGGGTTCGTTCTCTAATGATCCTTCGCTCGCAAACGCCTTCATAACGAAAGGAGGCGAATAAACGATCGGGACTGTAAGTGACGTTCGTCGTTCCCGGCCCGAAGTGTCGGTGTCTCAATTTTCCGATTCATTAGAGAAACCCAATCCGATATAACCGGTGTAATCCAATTTTCTGTGTCGCTAATACGGTGATCTACGTTGCCTCATGTACTATTCCGAGCTTTTTCGTGTTGCGCGCGCGACCACTGCCCTCCATCCCTATGTTCTCGAATTACCGTCCGTCCATTCGCCCATCGCGGTTAACTCTGATAGTGTCATATTAGGCTCACAAGGCCTACACGCTTTTTTTTGTTTACCTTCCCTTCCCTTTTTTTTCAACGTGATGTACTATATTCCACTCCTATTCCTCTATTACTCAGTTGGCCTGCAACCTTTACGACAGAAGGACACATACATGAAGGAATTCTATACAGTTTCACTAAAAATATCATATTAAAATGATCGAAGAATAATTTTCATGGATTGGGGAGAAAAAATGCTGAACGGATGAAACGATATCTTCAAACTGAGAATTGTGTCTGTTCGAGGATATTTCGTTTTTTCTCTCCAGTATATTTCCTCTCAATTTATTAAAATTATTCTTGAATAACGAGAGTATGATATGACATTATTATAGAACTATCGAATTTTTTCATATAGGCAAGTTTTATATCCATGTAGGATTATTAATTCAATTAGTTTATACGTAAGATATATTCTTGCTTATAGAGAGAATATAAGTCTCGAGTCAATACTGATTGTCGCCGCCTACAAAGACAACGAGTAAAAACTGGCGATAAACTGAATAAATGCTGGTATAACTGACAAAGACGAAGAAGTAACGAATCTCTCTTCGCTAGGCAGACCCGAGCAACCTGTGATATTACAGGAGCGTAAAGACAGCGGGCGTTAATTTCCACGAAGCAACGATCGGAAGGGCTCGGCCAGCAAGCGATTCTCGACTCACCTTGCACTTGGGGTACTCCTCTTCCGGGGTGGGTCTCTTCCATCCGAGCAGCGGCGGTATGCAGACGAGCGCCGACAGCAGCCAGACGAGGGCGATCATGAGCGCGGCGCGGGCCGGCGTCCGCTTCTTCAGGTAGTCCACCGCCTGCGTGATGCTCCAGAAGCGGTCGAGGCTGATCAGGCACAGATTCATGATGCTGGCGGTGCACAGCAGCACGTCCATCGCGGAGTAAATGTCGCACCACCAGTAGCCGAAGATCCAGTAGCCCATGATCTCGTTCGCCAACGAGAACGGCATGATCACCAGGCCGAGGAAAAAGTCCGCAACCGCGAGGCTCGCAATGAACCAGTTCTGTATGTTCTTGAGCGCCTTCTCCGTGGCGATCGCGATTATCACCAGCATGTTGCCGACGATGATCACGATCATGAGCAGGGTCGCTACGATCGAGGCTAATATTATTTCCGGCACGGTGTAGCCCGACGGGTAGCCGCCCTCGCCCACCACGATGAAGGTCTCGTTGTACATGCTGACGTTCCACTGCGGATGGACTCTCGGCAGGCTCGCGTTCGACGAGTCGTTGAACGCGCCGGCGGTGTCCTCCATTATGTCGCCGAAGCCGAACAGCAGCAGATCCTTTCCGTACTCGTCCACCTCCGCTGAACTGTTCGACGTACTCGCACCGTCGTCGGTCGTGCTGTCGGCGCTCCCCGCGTCTTCCGCGCTCTCGAAGATGTCGCAGACTCGAGTCCCCGAGGTCCGAAGGCCGCAACGACGCCGGGAAATCCTTCTCGTCCCCGTCGTCGCCGCCTCCTCCACCGTCGCCGTCGCTCCCGTCGTGACGCCGGTCTCGATGTGTTTTTCGTTGCTCGGATCGCTCGAGCCTCCGACGGCCCGCACCTGCTCGCCGTTCGCGCGTCCCTCGTAACTCGTAGAAGACGTAGCTTCGCCGGCCGGTCGGGACCACGTCATGTTCTCCTCGAGGACGCTCGTGCCGTTAGCCGTGGTCGCGCTATCGACGGCGATGGTCATAATGCTGCCGAGATGCGGCATCACTCGCACCCTCGCCGGGTACTGTAGATGCTATCTCGGTAAGGACGACGCGGTGGTAGCGGTCGCGCGCGAGTAGCAACGTGCCCCGGGTGCCAGCTCGAGTAGCAGCAACAGCAGGAGGGTGGTGGTCTCGTCGCATCTCGAGGCCAAGGGCGTCATGCCCGTTTCAGGATAATGCCATCGTGGTCGAATACACTGCCCAGCGCGCTGCTCCTCTGCCTCTCTCGCGCGTCTCCGCCCCCTCCTTCTCGCGTCCTTGCCCGTTGTCGTCGTCGTCGTCGTCGTGCTCGTCCTGCCCGCCGGCTCGCGCGAGTCCGTCCTCCGTCGACCGCGTCGCTCAGTCGACCTTGTCGACTCCTCGCCTGATCGATGCGTGCGGCTCGCGCCCTTCGACCTCTCTCTCTCTTTTCTATCTCGCCCCGGATTTCGCGTCTCTCCGAGCGGATTCCACGACAACACACGCACTTGTATCGTCGTCGTCCTCGTCGAAGCGATGATGAGAGCTGCTGAGTTCCCGTTCGGCGTTGCCTTCCCTTTCCGTTCGACCGAGTTTCTTAGAATCTAGTTTAACGTCGCACGCGGAGTCCGGCTAATTTCGGCCGACGACTGCTTCGCGCAAGACGCCGTTGTCGCAGCGCCGTGGCGCTTTCGTTACTCCCCTGTGTTCTCCGTCTCCTTCGTTGCCCGTGTTCATACGTACGTTGCTCTCTGATTTATTGCTTGCGACTCCGTTCCTCGTATTTCCTGCATTCACTGGTCCACAACAGACTTAATACGGACAGAGTGTGCGGAGATTTATGGATAGTCCGGCGGGCGACTTGATTAAGGGTGTATCAAGGCGGATAGGGAGAGGAAAAGAGGAAAGGTGGATAAGATAGAAAAGGGAGAGTAAGAGAAAGACAGACAGATAGATAAATAGTAGATAGACAGACAGACAGGTGGACAGAGATGGAGAGAGAGAGGGAGAGAGGAGGAGGAAGATAGTCGTCTACGAGAATAAGAGTAAAAAATTGGTCCCCGTGTTTTTTTACCTTCCCTTTACATTAAGCTTGAGCAAGCTACATAGCCTGGAGGCAAATGAAGCGAGAAAAGTTTCCCCTCGACAAAGCGCCGACGATCGTAGGAAGATCTCGTTTTAGGACTACAATAGTGGCGCGCTCTCCCCGCCGAGTGGATCTACCGCGGTTCTTCCACGCGATCGTAGGATAGATCTCGCGATAGTCTGCCGCGAGTCCCGATGACAATTGACCGCGCACTCGCTCTCCTCGCGCGAGACGGAAATGCGCGCGCGATTCCTTCCTCCCCGGACTCGAGATTCGCGCGCCCCCCGGTTCCTCTTCCCTCGCTCTTTCCTCCCTCGAGTTCTACGCGCGGCTCGACGGCTTGTTTCTCACTCGTCTAACACGATGCCCGCGAGCTAATTAATTATCGCGCCGGGGCTAAAAAGGCTAAGCGCTGTATACCCGTACTGCTCCGACCTGCTTTTCGAATACTAATACGAAATCAGCAAGAAAATACCTTCGACGAAAAGATCAGAAAACGACAGAGATTACGGAGAGAACTATGTACACGTGCATTTGTGTGTGTGTGTGTGTGTGTGTGTGTGTGTGTGTGTTATATGTATGTGTGTTTATATTTATGCGAAGATGTGCTTACACGCTACGTGTCGTGATATACGCGAGTAATATATATAATATGTATATTAACGCGAGTCGCGCGCGCGAGCGAACGAGAGAGAGAGAGAGAGAGAGAGATTCGCGACGCGGCCTCGGGCCGTGTGTCTTACGAATTAGCGTTCCGGAAATATAGTATATACGAGTGTCGGCGATTTATCAATCGCACGCGTAGGTAAAAGCACACCCTCAATCTAACCCTTATCGTCGAATACGGCACACACACACGTGGGTCCGCGAGAGAAGCGAGAGTCGCTACATGATATATGTAACGTTGGAAGTGGAAGAAACGGGATGGCGAAGAGAGAGAGAGAGAGAGAGAGAGAAAGCGAGAGAGAGAGAGAGAGAGAGAGAGAGAGAGAAAAGGAGAAGAAGATGGAAAACTAAAGAGTGGAGTCGACCTGTCGCTCGAGAGAATTCGCGCGGCTAATTACGAGTACGAGGGCTTCCCTGTATGTACACCTATTTACACGTCATTAGAGCTCATTACTCCGCGACGAGGAGTGTCCCGGACGACTCGTCTCTCTCGTTCTAACGCTCCTTCATGCGACGCACTAGGTCATCGAGTCATTCATCCGGTCGGGTTCACTCGCGACTTCCGTAGCCGACGATGGCTGCCGGCGAGGTGTTTACTACTTCGTGAACTCGGTCGCGTAACGGTCTCGCGTCGAGGGCACTCCCGCGACGCCGGGGTGGCACTCGAATCTTCCACTCGGTGTCGTCGTATTCGTCGGGAGAGACGTCTCCCCTTCCGTCCTCCGCTTCGCAAACTTGCCCCAGCAGTCGGCCCAGGTGGTGTCCCACTACCTCTCTCTTTCGGTGTCCACGGCGACGACTAGCCGCGACGAGGTGCCGGTCGACAGCCTTGTCCGATCTCTCTTCTGCGCGACTCCTCGCTCGCCACCGAGATCCGATTGCCGCACGACGATCTGAACGGTGCTACCTCTTCCATCGGCTGTGACAGTAGCGGAGATTCGCTTTCATCTGAGACATCTCGCTCCGCGGGGAGCGCGTCCTCCTCTTCCGGCCGGCTCGTGATCCTCGCGCGGTCTCCTCACCCCAGCGTCTACTCGCTCCGACCGGTGTCCGTCGTGCTCGACGACGAGTCACACGCGCACACACACACACACTCACACACGAGGAGGGCCTTCGCGAGAGAGAGACCGGCTACGACGCTCTCCGCATCCCGCCGCTTCCTTCCGGAAGTCACGAACGATCGGACCCGTCGCGAGACGGCATGCCTCGATAGGCGCTGCGCGAACAACACGACGACTGGCTGTCTTGCACGAGGTCCCCGCGACGACACACGCGCGACCGAAATTCCCGCACGATTCTCACTCGAGCGAACGCTACAGCTTGCTCGCGCGACGTCCGAAGGTATCCTCGACGAGATCGGCGGAGGGTGTCCCGTTAATTACTCTCGAAAGACTTGACGCGTGCGAGCCGAGAGAGAGAGAGCCACCCCCGGTGTCTGTGTGTTGACGCGAAGATAGCGCACAAGAACACAGGTCGCGTGGCGGGCTGCTCTTCAGCGGCTCAGCTGTCTCCCTCTCTCTCTCTCTTTCTCTCTCTCTCTCTCTCCCTCTTTCCCCCGGTCTCCGCTCGACTTCCGGACGCCAATTAAGAGGATCTTCGGGGAACGTCTCGACCCTCCGCCTCGTGTCTCCTCGGCACCGTGTGCATGCGTGCGTGCGAGCGAGCGGGCGAGCGAGCGGCTCGAGGTTGTCTCTCGTGGGTGTTTGCGAACGCACTGCAGCCACTGAGGGACGAGCCAGGAACTCGGACTCCCTCTCGTGTCGTTCGGTGGATGGAGACTCCTCGCAGGATGTCGGTGGCGAGAGAGCGAGAGAATGTGCGCGCGCGGTCGTGCCTCTGTTATATGTGTGTATGTGTGGGTGTGTGTGTACGTGTGTGTGGGCCTGCGTTCATATGGGTGTGAGGCCCGTGCGTGTACCCCGGTGTATCCTGGTGTGCCTGTATATGTGACAAGGGGGAACGTGAGGGAGGGAAAGAGAGCTTGCTTGGCTCACTGGAGGCTGACTGTTGGCCCGACCGATCGCTCCGTCCGACGGTACCAGCGTCGGGGCGCCGTCTGACGGAGTCGCGGAACCTGCGGCGCAAGCGTCGGGACGCCACCAGCACCCGATGGAACCGTCGCGGACCGACAGTCGACTTTGGACCATCGACCGATCGGCCCGCAATGAAATTATGCCACCGCTGATCCCGCCGCGAATCACCCGTACGCGCTCTCCCTCTCTCTCTCTCTCTCGCTCTCTCTTATCTTGTCATTTGCGATTTGAATACTTCATATTCCTTATTTATATATATATACAGTGTATTTCAAGTTAGCGCTTAAGAACTGTCCTAATGCGCAAAATAAATAACGTATTCTCTCTCTCTCTCTCTCTGTAGATTCTGCAGATGCCAGTATTTTTTAAGCATAGATTGTATCGACACGTGCGAAAAAATTGTCTTCTTTAATACGTTGAGCGCTGCGTGAGCCATCGGTAGTCTACGTTGAGCTTTCCGTGCATAACGTATATTTTACGTTATCTCTTCCCTTCATAATAATAGTTTTGTAGATTTTTGTGATTTTTAATTATCTTATAAATATTATAAGATATATCTTATAAAGATATATGATAAAAATATATAATAACTGCAATAATCGTGGATTGTCCGTAGCCTACGCAGCAATGAATGGAGGAGTCACGTGAAATTGGCGCAGCACTCAATATGTTAATTACTCTGCAAATCAAATGTTGTAAATTAACTTGGTGGAAAGCACGAATTACTGTTTTATACGTACAGATTCAATTCTTAACGTTCTTAAACGGGTATGTCCTTAGAACAGAGTTTCCCAAACCCGTGAAACACGACCCGCTTTTTAGAACGGCAAACATCCCGCGACTTACTTGGATATTTGCTAGGTATGAAAAAGCGGGGAGAAGGAGATAAATTGATTATTTATTTATATTACTTTATAATATATTGGTGCGTTACGAAATACATGATAAGTCTGTACCAGGCTTAAGTTTATAAAACTACGCGAAGTGATACACAATCGACAAAATTTGGTGAAATAAGCTTATAAAAGCCAATGCTAGATTTAGTTTGCGAGTATACAAATTATAATAATTTATCCATAGAGAAGATCTGGAGACGCAGACGCTTCCTCGTTCTAAAGTTCCAGTTGTCGAGACATGACACATCGCCACCATTCGTGTAAGCTCTTTATCTTACGTTAACGTTTGTAATAGTTTTGGTGCTCAGAACCACTAATGTAATTCCGAATTACTATTTCCATATTATTGTCATTGAAGAGGA